CATACTAAATAATCGTTCAGCACTAGCACTTGAGGGCAACGCAGTATTAAATTTAATAAACAAACTTTTTATATGAAAAAAATCATCAAAAATATTTAAATTAGTATTTTTAGATTTAAAAAAAGCATCTAGAGGTTCAATAATATTATTATTTATTTCAAAAAAATCGTCTATGGAAGGCTGCGGTTTCGATCTTGCTATAATATCGTGGTTAGGCATGCCACTTTTTAACGTTACCATCAGCCTATCAAGTTGCCCTTTAGATTCAGTCAAATTAATGTATGGCCAATTTAACTTGAAACTAGGATGATCTTGGTCCGTGGAGAAAAAGTGTTTATCATCTTTATAAAAGAATCATTATCCACCAAGGATAATGGTTGAACTTTATCTATTATAAAGTTCATAATAACTTTGTAAGCCAATTTTTGGGATACACCAGGTGTTGATGAATCCAAATTGGTTAATTTTGTTTGTATTAAATTTGATTTGGAAGTGGGTTTATCTTCTTCCATTACCCCAAAACTTTTGATATATTTTTCAATCTCTTTATAATTTGAAGTGTGCACAGTCTAAAATTATAAAATACTTAGAATAAAAATTATGTAGGAGATAAGTATACATAAAAATGATTGAAATAACTATTTTAAAATGTTTTAAATAATTTAGATAAAATTTATGAATATATAAAAAAAATGATTGGTTTTTGATTTTAATTTTTTTTTAAAATTAAAGATTAACTTACACATTGATATTAAATTTGTTTAATATATTACCTTTAAATGTTTTTTCAAATTAAAGCTGCTCGTATGATTTGAAGAGATAATTTTGCGGCACATCTTGCACCAAAACCGATATTCAGTATTAATTTTTTCTTCAAGATTAAAGTATTTCTTGAATTATGGGAAAGGATCATCTATATTTTGCTCATTTTCCAAAGAAATTTCAATATCTTCAACAATCTCACACATAACAAGATTTATAATGCTTAATATAAATTTTAAAATGAAATATAAAATAAGATAAAAGCAAGGACATACCAATAACGGAATTTCAAAAATATATAATTTAATGAATGCGCGAAATATAAATTAAATACAGATTGCTATTTAACAACTCTTTATATCTAATATATAACAATAATGTATATTTTTAAATATAAATTTCAAAATTAAATTAAATAAAAGGATTATAATTTTAGATTTTATAAAAATATATTTTAATCATTTTTAGATGTATTTATTATGTAAAATTTACTTTCTAAATTAGTAACGAGCTACCGCTATCGCTATTTTTTAAAAAAAGTAGCGCGCTATAGCTACCACTACTGAAAATAGTAGCTCGCTATTTTAACAACACTGCTATGTAGCCATAGTTGAATTTAAATATACGTTCAAATCAATTAAATGTTTTTATGAAAGTATTAAAAACAGATATCGTAGGTAATGGAATTAAGAATATCTGAGACTTGAAATAAACTATTGAATGAAGAGGGATAATGAAGTTAACTGCGTAAAAGCAGAAAATCCTGGTTGTAAGTTTAGCAAGGAAGAAATTAAGAAAGCGATGAAGAAGATGAAAAGAAGGAAAGCAGATAGTTCAACAAGAGTGCTAATAGAAATGCTTAGGGAGGTTCTGAAGACATGGGAATTAATTGGTTTACCTTATGCAATCTAATAATTGCAGTAATTATTCCGGGGACAGGTGATCCTTAGATTATTGGTCGTATAGAGCAATCAAACTATGCTATGAAGGTATTTGTGAAAATAACCAACGAAAATCAATAAAATGCAGTTTAATTATTATGCAATTTTGGTGAGACAAATATAGGAAAAGTATTTAGCGAAGGGAAAGAAACTATATTATGCATTTGTTAACTTAAAGAAAGCGTTTAAGAGGGTGTCACGCGATGTTACTAGACGAGTCTTGAAAAAATCAGATGTAGAAGGTGGCTGGTTATGGCAGTGATGCCAATATATGTGAGAGCACAAACTGCAGTCTGAACGAACGATAAAACGAATGTTTTAAAGTATAGGTAGGATTACACAAAGGATCCATTGAACCCCTTATTATTTATTCCCAGGCGCGTACGCAGGAATTTGGTCTGTGGGGGGGGGAATAATAATTTTTTTTAAGAAATAATATTGTTAATTAAAAATACTAAGCATAAATTTATTAGGATTAATAAATTTTCTAATACACAATTTTAAACTAATGTGAATTAAAAAAATTATATATATAAACCGGCATTGAAAAACTATAAAATAAATGTGAATTATAAAATATAAAGTGAATATAACCCATGATATGAATCACTTAAATGACCCAAAATTGAAATTTGATTTTTTGAGCTTTTAAAATATATAAAGTATAAATAATTTAAATGTTGGAAATATAAATTAATACACAAAAAGTTTCTTAGGAATAATTGTATTTTGTATGTTTTGAGCTAATTTTTCAATTATCAATCCTTGCTTGGCGTTAAATGTCTATGAATATTCAAAAGGTCCAAATCATTCAATCTACTTTCAGATGTTGTATTTCATAGGTATGTTTTTCACAGACTTGCAGGCCCGGCCCCCGAGCCGGACCGTATTTTAATTTTTTTAAATATACCCGGGCCGGGCCTGAAAATTTTTTAAAAAAAAACCCGGGCCGTAAAAAATTTTTTAAAAAAAATCTGGGCCGTGTCCTGCAAATGGTACCTCTGCAAAGCTCTGTTATTCTTCTTAAAAAAGTGAATGTTCTCTCATTAGTTTACTAAAGAGCTGCTAATATATATAACCATTTTAATAATTGGGAGTATAATCTAAAATGTGTTTGAAATAAAAAGCATCCATAGCATTTTTTGGGACGGTATCAACCATAGTTATAGTTATTCAGCTAATAAGGCATCATAAGATATTTTAACATCTTCATGATAAAAATCTAACAAATATTTATATTTTTTTTTTATCACCATATGAAAAAGGTTGGGAGAGGTGACATTTATAATACTATTCTACTGATCCTATATTAATGTTTTGACGAGGGGGACAAATATTAAAAACGTATAGCTCTGCTTTTGACTCAACAATAACATATAAAATATGAAATTCTTCAACAACATTAGCTCTATTTCCTTGAGTTCTAATAAAATGCTCTCCGCTATTCTCATCTTCTTAATCAAGTCAATGTTATGTTTTTGAAAATTATTACATAAAATAGTTGTATAATTAAATAATACATTCTAATTAGAAAAAAAATTTGGAATAAGTATTGAATCCAATAATTTTCTTGCTTCTGAGGAAATATTTCTTTCAAGCCATTGTGATATTTCAGTAATAACATTAATAATCGGCTCTTCTAACTCCATAATAGCTGTTACTGTGGCGGAGACTCGATCTCGTTGGACAAGCTTGCAATTTCTTTCTCCCTGTTGGACAAGGAGTTTCAGAGATAATTATTATTTGACTAGAAATTTAGATAAATATTACGCCACTAAAATTTGAAAATAATAGGTAAATTACGCCAAGGAAAACTTGAAATCTAAATTAATTGATAAAATAACTTAGTAGATGAATGTGATAAATAAATGTAATTATATATATATATGAGATAGGAATAAATATTAACAAATATAAATTAATATTAACAATAAGATTTTTGAAAAATATAATCCGGCATCTTCATTTTTTGGCTTTGGGGGGGGGGGGGATTTGCCCCCTTTCCCCCCCCCTTCGCTGCGTACGCCAATGTTTATTCCTGTAATGGAGATGGTGGCTATGCACAAAGGACTTCCATGAGCTATTATTTGCTGATGACTTTATATTTATTCCTGTATAGGACATGGTGGCTATGCACGAAGGACTTCCATGAGCTATTATTTGCTGATGACCTTATATTGTTAGTAAACAAGAATTAAATTAGGGGATAACAAAATGGGATATAATAAAATGTTTTTATTTAAAAATTAGAGACTAATAATTATTTAAATTACAATTTAAAAAAAATATCATAATGTCAAAAAAAATTATTGACATTATTCGTGATTTTATTCAAAAAATTATTTATTTTAATCATAAATTAAATCATGTCAACCTAAATTGCATAACTTTTATTATATTAAAAGATCTTCTTTCTAACAGTATCCTCTGCCTTGGAAAAAATTCAGGGGATAAATTTTGTGCTTGTTTAGGATAAATATAGTGTTTTCTAATAAGCTTTTAGATTTAATTAGGCGCGCCATCAGCTACCCTACTAAAAAAGGTAGCACGCGACTTGAACAACTCTGTAACGAAGGTATTATGTTTCCGAAAAGGTACAGTCGGCCCAAATTCTGGGTAGAATTTTTTTAATTCAGGCCGGGCTCAACCCTTCAAAAATATATTAAACGGGCTTAAAAATAAAATATAATGATTTCTCTCTTCATTATTAAAACAATGATAAAATTAAAATTCACTGCGAATAAGTCAAAAACAAGTGAGTTTTTTTAAACTTTATAAAAATGCAAAAATAGTGATCCACCCAGTCTTTGATCCGGACTGGATCACGGTCCTTAAAAAATGTTCCTATTTTTCATTTTTACCTAATTAAATTCTTGTTTATTCGGACTATAAGTAAAATGCTACTTTGACAAACTTATGGTTTTATTATTGCAAAATAAAAATGAACTAAAGATTCACAAAAACTAAAATAACTCCTATAGAAAAATAATACAAAATATTAAATCAAACTTAAATATTAATAAAAGACCAGTCCTGACTGCGGTCTTCAAAAAAAGATCTGTTCGGTTCCTATTTAAGACCGATAGGACCGGACTGCTGACCTTCACCACCTAAAAATAAATAAGAAATTCGAATCGAGCTCGGGCTAAAAAATAATTTTTAAAAAATAGGCCAAACTCTCGCAAAAAAATTAACTTATAGGACTTTATTATGTGACTAAAAAGGATAGACACTTTTATAATATTAATAGATTCACAAATATAAATATTATTTTTATAACTATTATAAATATTAAAGTCAAGAACTCTGCGAGCAAATTATTGGTTTACAAAAATCTTCCATACGGATCTGTCGAATCCGTGATCCCGTATCTATTAAGGAGAGCTAGAGAAAATTTTACTGTTTTTATTAGGCTATCATTCGAAAAAAAATATTTAAGACGTGAACTTAGAAACAGATTGCCTATTCCTTTGTAAACCCATTTGTTAATAAGTCTTTATACGCAATTCTTTTATAAAGGTTTAAGCCAATTTTAAACTGTTATTAACAACACCTGGTATGGGTACTTATAATTAATTTTAATTTCTAATAATTTTTTTTTCATTCCCATCGAAAGTAAATATTTAAGTAAAATTTTTAATACCTACTATGCGATTGTTATGTTTATATTCATTTTTAAAAAAATCGTTAATTATGAAACAATTAATCATTAAATATTTTGCAATTTCCAATCCTTGTATTTACTTCCCTAAAATCTAGTCATCTATAATTTTTAAGTCATTTATATTATTTATATTTCAACGGTTACATCAAAACATATAATATATTCTATGAATAATGAATTTTATATTTTACCTATTTAATGTTGTTAAAAAACGATATTTTAAATTTTGTTATTTTAGCTATTAAATATTGTTAAGAAATTATATATTATATTTTTTGATGAAATTATAAAAAAGCATACAAAACAATTCAATGGCTGGCCGCGATTTTACCGAATCTTTAGGGTTAGGGTTCAAGTACTTTTTTATTTATTTTTTATTAACTTTTTCATGAATTTTATTTTTCGTGCAATCATTTTTATATTATGTGCAAAAATTTTTTAATTTCTTAATTGAAATTATATCTTAAGTATATGTATTTAAATTAAATCATGGAGAGGTTAAATGTAAAATTAAGATTTAAGGAGAGAGAGAAAAATAGAAGTTTTGGAAAATATCAAAGAAAGTAGCGAATGAAATCTAGGGAGGAATAGAAGGTATTGCTGGAGTAAGAAAGAAAGTATTCAACGAGAGAGATAATGGGATAATGCTAGATATAACATGTTCAACTTGTAGCGATTACTATACAACAACTAATTATTTAAAAACTGTAATAAAGCATAGTTTTTAATATTTATTATGGAATCACGTTGTTGAGTCCGATCTACTATATATCAGCTCCTAAGTAATGAGCCACCAAGTTGGCATCAAAAAAAATGATCCTTATTGTATTTGAATCCAGAACCTTTGGATTAAGATACACGCACTCATCCGACTAGACCAGAGGCGATCTTTGAAGATGATTTTTTTAAATATAAATAAACAAGTGTTACCTCGATCGTATCAAAATTTGGTTCGTTTAATATCACACCTTGTTATATCTAACATTAACCTAGAAAATGCTTAAAAAGTTAGAGTAGGGTGAATAATTGAGGTAGCAAGCCAGTTGAACGATTTTTTTATGGATCCGTCTCCCTAATTCTTTGAAAAAGGCTTTGGGCTTTGCTAACGAAAGAGGTAAAGTAGAGCGAGCGATGGATATGCATAAGAAGGATCGATTGAAAGATGAAGTTCTAAACCAGAATTTGGCCCATTGACTAAGGAAACCTTTTAAAGTTCGAGTCTAGAGGGAAGGCCGTCGATTTAAATCCTCACGAAATAAAGTTATATTTAATATGCCGTGGGAAAGCGGCAGTTAAGGCCGTTCCACAATGTTTTATAACCATTTTGCAGTTAAGCCGTAGTTCAATAGCATATCTTGGATTGTCAGCTGAAAGGAAAAAAATGATATTTTTAAAAGCTGTTTCGATAAACGTTAAGTCAGATCCTTAGTTTACATGGTGAAAAACTGAGATCATTATCATAAAGGTTCGATTTTTTGTTAGCTACTACCAAAATGAATGGGTATTTTATATTTTTTCGAAAAACTTATGTGGCCTAGTCAGTAAGGCCTTTATTTATATGAAATGCACATTAATGTCACTTAAAAGACGTGAAAACCAAAAAATGGCGTTACATCTGACTTATATAGACACTTTTAAATGCATTTAATAAATGAATCGCCGATCTAGTTTATACATCATCGATCGGAAATACCGGTGTGATCTCATCTCAATATATAAATGGATCTTATTGCATTAAAAAAAATTGATCATTTGTTTAGCAATCGCTTGTTAACTTGGCAGTAACTAACATTAACCCAAATTCTGGTATGCGGTGGAGCCTTCATTGAGTGTAAAAGTATCCTAGTATTTCCGGAATTAACGTGTTAAGAGAATGGGGAAAACTGCGAGCATATGGTGCGGCTGGGAGACGAGAAGCAATGGAAGAGAGCTGATATTTGCAATTAAATATACTACTAGATTGGTGAACCATCAATTAAAATTGTATTTACTTACATCTGTTATATCATTTTATAATTAGCACGTCGATTAATTTGAATGCTAGGTAACCCTAAGGAAAATTCCTAGCAAGCCACAAATGAGGAGAAAGTCGACTAACACACAACTCGAATGATCCAAAAAATAAACTGATCAGAATGTATGGAAATGCATTTTTATATGGGTAAAGAAATTTGAAAAAATTTGTTGAAACAATCTTTTTAATTTTTAACAATCTCATTTCATTTACTAAACCATCTTCGGTAATATCGCTAATTCCTAATAAAGGCTTTATATTATGTGTGCGAAAATATCGATTAAAGTGAATACCAAGGCTTTCTAAATAAATATAACTTGCCATAAACCTCTTATCAATACACCCAATCAAAACATCTATATTAAATTAACGACTCTTAAAATGCTCACCTTAACTTAAATTTTCTCCTAATTGATTACAATAAAATTGGAAAAATCTTTTAGTCTTGAGATCCTCTTCTCAACACTTACGGATAAATCTCTGTAAATATTCTCATTCATTTTATATCTCAAAAATTGGCAACACTTTTTAATGAATGTAGAAAACAAATTGAATTTTGACTATATCAAATGTTTTAGAAAATTAAATATATTTAAAATAGAATAACTAAAATTTAACCTCTCTACCTATTGTTTTTGAAAGCTCAGGCTCATTATCCTTATTCAGAATCATGGCATATGCTCATTTTAACCTTCCACCAAATTAACCAATTTTCTTCATTACAACAGACACCGTTGGCACTATTAAATATTGCAGTAGAGGCATGAATGAATAATTAAACCGATAGTGGTTTGGACTGCAATAAGTTACTCTTATAACATTCTCATTTTTAAAAGATTTATCCAAAAATATTTTCTAGAAACCAAATTTTTTCAGCAGAAACGAAAATATGATTTGCCTAACTATGATCGTAAAGTCATTTAAAAATTGCCCACTTTTCTGATTGGTCCATTTAATAGTTGTAAATTAAGATTGTATCTTAAATATTATTAAAATATTACTTGGATTATCTGATATATTATATAGATTAATTACTTGCAGAAAGTTTCGTATTAATAATGGTGTAGTCTGTTTCCGAAATGGACGGAAATATGATCGAAAAAGGTCTGAAAGAATGGGTTTTTAAAAGCAATAGTGGTTTAAACCAGGGCTTTCTTTCTTTCGAACCGTTATTTATAACGGTAGATTGGTTACGGTTCAGTATATAAAATATTATAATGGTTACGTTTTGGTTACGGTTCTTATGAAGAAATTTACAAAGGTTCGGTTCAGTTCAGCTAATTATAAAGGTTCATTACGATTAGAAATTTAATTTTTTATTGAAGCAACACCATCGTCTAATTTATTTTTATTATAAGTATCTATAATTTATATATAAAAAAATATATTAGATTCAAAATAACTCATTTTTAAACATATAGTAATATATTTTCTAATATAATGGATTCATATTTGTTTGTTGTGACGATAACACAAATTTTAGCCTCGAAAAGGCCCTTTCTATAGAAACTTGTGTTGCGGGAACCGCCAGTACTATAAGAGAAAGTTTATATAATTCTGGATATTCAAATTTTTTTGATTCCTAAAATATAAAAACTGAACCGGTTTAACCTTTTTATATAAATGTTCTTTTTACTCTTTCAAAAAAAAATTATATCGATTCGATTACGGTTCTGATATTTAAAACGGTTTATAATGGTTTAACGGTTCGTTACGGTTCACTCCGGGTCACTGGTTTAAACAGCAATGAGTTTCTCTCCTATAGTCATTGTTAAAAAATATTTCCCAGGAGTGTTGTTAACCGCTCTATTTGAACTGATTTTTAAAAATGGTTAACTCAATATTTTAGCCAGAATATTGCATTAGCCTCGAGATTTCGCTAATAGATATCCAAACCTTTGTGCCATTTAATAAATCTTCAAACTTGCGTAAAATTTTTCTGGATAAAATATAGTTATTTGTTTTAAATATAGGCTCAAAACGAGACGTTTAACAACACTACCAGGAACCAAAAAATTATATTTTTTTTTTGGGGGGGGGGGGGAGGTGGGTGGGTTCGGATGCAGCTGGTACATTTTCGGGGGCAGGGGGCCTCCCAAAATAGGCCTAGAATCGGGCCTGTCTGAATGTATATTAAGACTAATCAATGTGGTTTAAATTAAATTTGTTTTTTGGGTATTCACTACTATACCAAAAATATATTATTCTCTCTCCTTGAAATTGATGGCATTAACATTCTAAAAATAAAAATACCATTTAGAATTAATATTTTAAAGTTATAGCTGCTAGATTTATCGGATATAATTTCTCTGCATTTTAAACATGAATTTATAGAGCTCCGTGAAGTTAGCCGAACGATTGGAAGCACTAACAATGAATTATACGTCATTTTTTAGTGCTTGTTACTGCTTCAATCCATATAGTAGCCGAATTTAAGGAAAAAAATTATAAACAAAAATAAAAACTTTTGCCAAATTCACGCTTAAAGGTCGATTGAAAGATCTTACGATGAAATATTTATCATCCTTTAATGCTTCGTTAGTAGAGATTAGTGCTTTAATTATTTATGTAACCAAATTTAAGAATAAAAATTTATTTTCGAAAAAAACAAAAATAAACAAATAATGGCGATGTGCCAGAACAAAAATTATAAAGATTTAAATATTTAGTTTTCACCAATATTTAGTGCTTAATTAATATATTTAAATTCCGTTGCTAATTTAGTTAACCGCCCTATAAAAAAAAGTTAAAAGCGAAATAAAAATTATGAGGTCAGGATTTAGGCGTGAAGTTAGCCGAACGATTGGAAGCACTTTATCATTCTTTGGGCTTCCTTTGTAGAGGTTAGTGCTTTCTCTTTTGTAGCCGAATTTAAGAATAAAATGTTATTTGCAAAAAAATACAAAGATAACCAATAAATGGCGGCCAACTAAAACAAAAACTATAGTAGTTATAAACATCCTGTTTTCGTCAATATTTAGTGCTTAATTAGTAAATTTGAGATCCGTTATTAATTTGGTAAACCGCCATATGAAAAAATAGTTATACGCGAAAGAATGTTTGGAAGTCAAATTCTAGAAAATTATAAAAGCACTAACGATAAATTTATATCATTCTCTAGGCTTCCTTTCGAGGTTAGTGCTTTAATCAGTTAATTTAAATAAAAAAGTTAATAACAAAATAAACAAAAAAATTGTGGCATACCAAAACAGAACTAAAATATCGACAAACCTTGTTTTACTATTATTTATGATCAATAAGTAACATTTAAATTCA